TTTGGAGTCAAGAGTATCCCATGCTTGATGTTTGTTGTGACATTGTTTCCTTTCAAGGCACAAGAATCACCAGTGTTTAATTTTTCAAAAAAAAAAAAGAAAAAAAAACCTAGTGTTTCAAAAATAGCTGGGCAATGCCTAGGCGGCTGGGGGAGGGGGGGTCTAGGTCGCTCAACGCCAAGGCGGGTGCCCAGAACCTGGGCAGCCCATTGGAAAAAAAAAAATCGTGGTGTTTTTCTCTCTCTAAAATAGGCTCTAATGGGTTTTAGGTTTCAAATGAACCTAAAACCCACAATTTTCCCCTTTAGTACTAAAAAATGCCCTCAACGAGGGGCATTTCTGCCCCTGGGCGGCCGTCTAGGAGGGTTCCTGGCGCTTAGACAGGCGCCTAGGGATATTCGCCTAATTTGGCTGCCTAGGCCTGAGCAATGTGCTCAGGTCTTTTGAATTGCCTATGGTAGTGGCTCAGTCGCTAGGCGGTCCACTTTTTAAATCACTGAGAAAAACAAATCAAAGTGTTGCTAAAATTTGGATACACCTATAGAGTTATTTTAAACACCTTCATAAACACCAAAAGCACCATGTAGTGCATTGGCCAATTGTTATAGACCTATTTGATCCACATTAAACAGCTATAGCTTGTATCCAAAAAATAAAATCTCGACAAATATGTTCCAAGTTTGATGGAGGGCAAAACTATTCTTATTTTGTGTTTTTATTCAATTTCAATGATGTATGTTATAGTTTTAGTTTTAGGATTTATTTTAGGGTTTTTAGGATTTTTAGGGTTTTTATTTTTTATTTACTATTCACAAGTACTATTTATGGTACTGTTCATAGTTACTGTTAACATGTTACCATTCACATGTTACTGTTCACGTGTTAGTATTCACATGTTACTGTTCACAAGGACATTTTTGGAATTTTGATATTGTTTTAGTGGTATTTTAGAGTATTAAATATTTACCTGAATCTCAAGTTAAATTAGGGTTTCGTAGGCTTTAAAAGGTTGGATGTCATAGTTTGAGGGCATTTTGTTATTGGAATAAATTTTATTTTATGAAAGAAGAAAGTTCTTCTCTTGACTTGATTTACAGCTATTTTCTTTCTCTCTTCTTGCTGATTTTACTTGTTTAAGGTTCAGGAGAATCGTGGATTCAATTTCTTACGTTTGCTCCTTGCATCAACTGGTATCAGAGCAAAAGTCTTGTTATTTTGTATTTTTATTCAATTTCATTGATGTATATTGTAGTTTTAGTTTTAGGATTTATTTTAAGGTTTTTAGGATTTGTAGGGTTTTTATTTTTTATTTACTATTTATAAGTACTATTCATGGTATTGTTCATACGTTCACAGGGGCTTTTTTGGAATTTTGATATTGTTTTAGGGGTATTTTAGAGCATTAAATATTTATTTGAATCTCAAGTTAAATTAGGGTTTCACAAGCTTATAACAGGTTAGATGTCATAGTTTGAGGGCATTATGTTATTGGAATAAATTTTATTTATAAAAGAAGAAAGTTTTTCTTCTCTTGGCATGATTTACAACCATGTCCTTTCTCTCTTCTTGTTGATTTACTTGTTTAAGCTTCAGGAGAACGGTGGATTCAATTCCCTACCTATTTCTCCTTTTCATCAAGTGGTTTTAGAGCAAAAGTCTTCTGATTTTGTATTTTTATTCAATTTCAATGATGTATATTGTAGTTTTAGTTTTAGGACTTATTTTAGGGTTTCTAGGGTTTTTATTTATTTTTATTTACTATTCACAAGTACTATTTATAGTATTGTTCATAGTTACTGTTCACATGTTACTGCTTGTTATTGCACACTTGTTACTGTTTATAGGGACATTTTTGGAATTTTGATATTATTTTAGGGGTATTTTAGAGTATTAAATATTTACTTGAATCTCAAGTTAAATTAGGGATGTCATAATTTGATGGCATTAATTTATTGGAATAAATTTTATTTTATGAAAGAAAAAGTTATTCTCTTGGCTTGGCTTGATTTGCAGCCATGTTCTTTCGTTCTTCTTGCTGATTTTACTTGTTTAAGGTTCAGGAGAATGGTGGATTCAATTCCCTATCTTTTCTCTTTGCATCAATCAAGTGGTATTAGAGTATAGTTCAAGGACGAGTGGAGATTGTGATGGCTTGTCGTGGAGGTCTTAGCTGTTAGGATGCCCATTTGATCCGACTGCGCAAGGAAATTAACAACTTGACGGAGAACGTTACAGAGCAATAGCCTGCCCTAAACGAAGACCAATCTACATGGATATATCCAAATCGTGAGGATTTTTATGGAGAATGACACTAATTAGAGTTCGACTCAGAGTTGGATCGGAATGATGAAGTTGCGTTCAACCATTTGTTCTATGCATGTGCTCCGTGTTGGGAGCCTCATGTTCAGGAGAATAAATCATGGGATTTAGTTGATCTACATGATGTGAAGCAGAATGAGGTTGATCTTGGTGTAGGTCGTATCGAAAGTCAAAAGGTTGTAGATTGGGATCTGCCATCAATTTTTGATATTTACTTAGAAGATATATATGATTTTGAAAGAGATATAATCTCTAATGGTGATCAAGATTTTGTAGGTAAACCGATCTTTGACGAAGAAAAAGATGAAGATCTGGAACATTTAGGAGATTTAGGGCACATGAATCAGAGTAGTGCAGTGGAAGTGTGGTCGACTCAGACTTTGCGAATGGTGGCCCTGATTTCAGGAAGTGATCAACTAGATGTTAAGAAAACCTCCAAAGGCCAGAAAATTGAGTTTGGAGTATCGTACATGATTTCCAATGGGAGTTCACGAATAACTGAATCTGATAAATTTGCATGGATTCCTCATTATCCATATCAGGACCGATTTCTTGAGGAATTTTTCTTACCTCGAATAATATTTGAGCTGATAAATAAAAAGAACGTCAAAGAAGGTGGTTTTGATGTTGAGTTCTTCTTAGCACACTTTAAAACTCGAGGATGAGTTTTCTCCAACAAGGGGAGAATGATGGAAGGAAAAAGTCTTCTTATTTTGTTTTTTTATTCAATTTCAATGATGTATATCGTAGTTTTAGTTTTAGGATTTATTTGAGGGTTTTTAGAATTTGTAGGGTTTTTATTTTTTTATTTAGCTATTCACAAGTACTATGAATTCATAGTACTATTCATAGTTAATGTTCATGTGTCACTATTCACGTATTACTGTTCACAGGGGCATATTTGGAATTTTGATATTGTTTTGGGGGTATTTTAGAGTATTAAATATTTTCTTGAATCTTAAGTTAAATTATGATTTTATGGGTTTATACAAGGTTGGATGTCATAGTTTGAGGGCATTATGTTCTTGGCATAAATTTTATTTTATGAAAGAAGAAAGTTCTTTTTCTCTTGGTTTGATTTACAAAAAGTTCTTCTCATGGTTTGATTTACAGCCATGTTCTTTATCTCTTCTTGCTAATTTTACTTGTTTAAAGTTTAGGAGAACGGTGGATTCAATTCCCTACCTTTTTTCTCTGCATCAAAGTTTTTCATGGGAAAGAACCCTGCTCTGATACCATTCTTTTAATCAATGGGTCACAAAAACCCTAATCCCCCCGTCACCTGAAAAAAATACAAGAAATAAAAAATATTTTTCTATGTGGGGACAACAAACGCCAAAAAATATATACCTTTTGTAGAAAATATCCAATTTGAGAACAAAGCTTTGAAATAACACTTAATTTCGTTAAAAACTGTATAGAAACATGATCTCCAAAGTAGATTTTTTAGGGTTTCTTCTTTGTTGGACTTTTCTTCCATTTTCTGGCGGTTTGGCCATAGTGCTAAAACCAATGGTTATATGGCCAGTATTTCACCACCTAACTCTCACTTCTTCAAATCTGCACTTTGATCTGATACCAAGTTGAAGCGTATATGATGTATGTCTACTCTAAACAATGACTAATTGAAGGAGGAAGAGAAATGGAGAGATTGAATAAAGAGAGGGAAGAAAGATTGTGTATGTGTGTGTGTGTGTGAGAGAGAGAGAGAGAGAGAGAGAGAGAGAGAGAGAGAGCTGATCCTTTCATGTGATCAGTCATATAATTTATATATAAATATTACTGATGAGCAAAATCACAAAAAAAACCTTGTGTGAGTTTATAACCCACACTTAACTCTGTGGACTCAAATAAAGTACAATATACCTCAATAAGTTGCGATGTGGCTGTAATGCATGGAAAACATGTGTACTCTTGATGCAACCAACCAATTGTCGTCGTGCCATGTATGTCCACAATGTAGTTTTAGCGATGGTGATTGAATGAGAGTGGAGAAGCCACACTCCCAAAGAAAAGCTAAAATGAGCCACTAATTTACTGGTACATGGGGGATAAATAGTGTCCCTCTTGCCCTCATCTTTTATTTGTATTCTCAAATATCATGGCCCAACTGTGAACCCAGCCCTGCATTGGGCATCAGTGTGCATGATGGGGCTCATATATCAGCTATGATTCCATCACTGTGGTAGGAACCACAACTAGGCCACTGTCCCATCATAGGTGGGAGCTGTGGCTCACTTGTGACCTCACGTGATAATAGGAGCCATGGCAGACGTATCTCTCCCATCCTGTGGGGAGAACGAAGATGGTGGCTCTGTGTAATCCATCTCTCTCTCTCTATCTCTCTCTTAAAACCTGGCCTGGGCAAGTGACCCTATGGTTTTCAGAACACTTGGGAAGACCAAAGCCTGTCCTAAGTACTTTGTGCACCATTCTGAGGATCCAAAGTTTTTTGTGTTGGCATGAGCTCAGGTTTCTTGTTGCTGATCCTTAGGAAGACACATGTAAGAAAGGGGTCTCTCGAATCACTGTCCAACTGCTGTCCTTCTCTACTCTAAAATCACTAACTCAGATGGAGATCTTGAGGATTATGTGATCTAATATTTTTATATTCCTTTGAAGAATTGGATACTTCAAGGTTTTTGAACAATGCATTGTCCTTCCCTTACCTTTCTGTGCAGATGGTGGAAGTTGTCTGTTGCAAGTTGACACCTCTTCAAACTGATTTGTATCGCCATTTCATACAATCAAAAAATGTAGGTTGCCTTTGGCATTTTCCTATTTTAATTCATAAATGTTTAAAACTGGATGTCATATTTAACATAATTAGTAGCAAAGCATTTTTTCTCCTCTCATACCTAAGTAGTTACTATTTCCAACAAGGTTAGTTATCTCTTATCTTTTAATTGCTTCCTCCATGCTAGGTCAAGCAAGCAATTGCAGAAGAGATGAGGCAATCCAAAATTTTGGCCTACATTACGGCGCTTAAAAAGTTATGCAATCACCCAAAGGTAACGAACTCAACTATTTAATATGTATCGAACTTATGTTCAATCAATATTACATTCTCACTATATAGATGGTGTATCAGCTGCAAGAATGGTTTCAAGTCTTCTGTTAAGCACCATAAACCTATGTTTTTATGAATAACTTATCGTGAATAATTTGATTGATGCTTAGCACTTTAATGGAACAGGTTATATTGGTATCTTGATATTTGTATCATCGTATGAATTTGGCTGAAAGTTGTTGGTATATCTCAGTCATTCATATTTCATTCAAATTCTGCAAGTGTTTTTGGATTGCTTTGCTACTTAGCATTGTTTAAGAACTTTAAATGCTTCCTTTTTGTTTGCCAAGGGCAAACGCATTATTAGAAAACCATTGTTGAAGAAAGTGTGATGCTGCACCTAGGCACAAAAGAGGTTTCTGTGTGTGTGTGTGTGTGATTTGCTAAAGTACTATACAAGACTCCCCCATCGTGATCTTGGCTGTAAAGTCATTGATACTATATTAGTCATTTATATTTCATTCAAATTCTGCAAGTGTTTTTGGATTCATTGTTGTGCTATTCAGCATTCTTTAAGAACTTTAAATGCTTCCTTTTCTTTGTTTGCCAAGTGAAATGTTGAACGCTTTGTAGAAAACCAATGTTGAAGAAAGTGTATGCTGCGCTTGGCACAAAAGAGGGTTTTCTTATTTTTGGTGGCAACAAAAGAGGGTTTTCTTATTTTTGGTGGGGGTATTGTTTCTTTTTTTTTGGGGAGAGGGGGGGAGGGGGGAGGGGGGAGGGGGGAGGGGGAGGGGGGGGTGGGGGAGTAGTGGCGTGGCGATGCTGGTTGGCTTGGCTTGATTTGGGTGCCTCCGTTTTGAGGTGCCCCACACACATTTACATATATATATGCGTTCCAGACATCATCATCATCATCATCATCATGAGAGTCTTTTCCCAACTACTTGACATCGACTACCTGAATCCTGGTCCGCTATTCTGCTCTATCAAGTGCTATACCCTCAGTGAGGCCATAGGTTTCCATGTAATTTCTAACTACTTCCAACCATGTCCTTTTGGGCATACCCCTTCCCTTTTTTGAGCCTCTTATTTGAACAAATTTGCTCCTCCTAATTGGTGCTGTATTGCGTCTGCGCAGCACATGGCCAGCCCTTTTAAGTCTTTTCTCTCTCATCTAATCACCTATTGGAGCTACACCTAAGTTCTCCTAAATGCATTCATTTCGACTTCTATCCATTCTTGTCTTGCCACTTATCAGTCTCAACACCCTCATCTCAGCTACACTTATCTTATAGATATGTTGTTTTTTGACCATTCAACATTCCGCCCTATAAAGCAAAGCTGGTCTCACAGCTGTCTTATAGAATTTCTCCTTCAGCTTCATTGTATTGTAGCAATCACATAACACTTTGGTTGCACATCTCCACCTCGCCCACCCAAGCTGTAATTCTACGTGCTCATCTTCCTCAGTCTCTCCATTTTTCTAGATGCATTCCAGACATATATCTATATTATATGCATGTTTAAGGTATCCCAAACACACATTGTTGCACGAGCAAATGTCTTGTGTATACCAATTTTTCCTATTAAAATTCAAGCATGTATTTTTTGGGGGGTTTCTTGTTTTATTGTCGTAGTTTTTAAGTTTTTACTATGGATTTTAGGTTTTTTCATTTTTAGTTTTTAGGAGCTGTTTGGAAAAGTAGCCAAGGTACTTACGAAGTTATTTATTTTATAAGGGTAAAAATATCATTATCAATTTTGTTTTTAATTAGGACTTTTATTTTTTTCTAGAGTTAAGATTTCTTGGGGTTTAAGTAGGATCTTTATTATAAATAGGGACTGAAAGAGGGTTGTAAAGATATTTGACGTGATTTTGAAATAAAGAAGAGCACTTTGCTTTGGATCCCTGGTTAGGGTTTTGTGAAGAAGAAACTGTTGAGTGTATCAGTGTTCCAAAAAAACTCGGTGGCACTTAGGCGCCCCCAAGAGGTGGCAGCCACCAAGAACCTTGGTGGCTTAGGTTCAAAAGGGGGCATGGGGTGTCCAATAATTCTGTTTTAGGTCCATATTATGTATAAAACATGCATAATCATGCATTTTTTATAATCCAAACAAAAAAACACAAAAAATGTTGGGGTCATGTGGCCATTTAAAGTCGTTATCGAGCATGTAAAACTATGACTATAGCGTTGTAATAGCTCCAGTGGGAGCGTAGTCTGGATGGATTGTGTGGCATGGTTCAGGATGGATAGTGAGGCGTCGTTGATGTCATGAATCACTTGAGTTTTTACAAGCTATGGCTCAGGTTGATGTCTGAAAAACTCGTAGCTTTGGGCATTTTGACACAACCGATAAGGGTTTCAATGTAGGGTCATCATTTGATGAGGTCAGAGTTCTGCCCATGGTAGTTGGCGAGGGGATTGGGTGTGACCCCTGCGTGTAGTGGTTGGTCAGAGAGGACAATGGCCAAATCTTCATTATTACCATCGCACGACATATACACTAGATAGCTGTTCAGGAAACAGGCCACTTGATGAGGGTGTGTCATGTACATGTGCCGAAGAGATGTCTCCTTGCAACATCGAACTATGTTGGAAGGACCCATGAGGTATTGTGTTAGAATGGGGCTTGGACTCATCTTCAGGGAGGAACCTGTATCCATGGGCTAGGATCTTCTCTTTCATTTGTTGGCTGACTTTGATAGTCCAAGAATGAACCTTTGTGAAGGGCGGTGGGTCTTGGGAACTATTGGGTCAGTTTGAGAGGATGACAGTGAGATGCCATTTAATTCCTAGCAAATCTTTTTAAATATGTTTACTTTTATTTTGACTATATTTTTGATTATTAAAATAAAAATTTAAATCTCTTTTGATATTTTATTTCATTGAAAAAGGATTTTTAAGTTAGCAAAAATAAATTTCTTGGATTTATTTAATTCTGAGAGAAAGAAAAATATTTATTGGTTTTCTAAATTTTTTTTATTACTCTAAAATTCCATTTAAGGTGTGGGGGCCGATTAGAACTTTGGGTCCACCTCATATGACCCCTTTTGGTGAGGGTGTGGGGCTCACATTGCCCACCATGTGTGGGACGCCCAACATATTTCCTCTTTCTTTTTGAGTGTGGCCTGTGATGGAAGCCATCTAGTTGATTTAAATTAAAAAGAGGGTTTTATAAAATGAGGATTGATTGTTTTGAAATTGCAAGGTATATAGATTGATTAAAATTAAATACCTAAATACATAGTATTTTTTGTACACAAATATTTGATAGTAATAGAGTTATAGAAACTGTGGATGATAGTTCTAGCTTATTCCTTTAGTCATGATGATTGATCTAAGGAATGAAGAACTAGGATCTCTTCACCTTACAAGTCTCCAAGATGTACGGTCAAGATTAAGTCCCATCATCTTCATAGCCTTTTCTCAATTAATTGGGTTGGCTACACGAATCTTGGTTTGCCAGTTTGCTCTATTAACCTCCATACCCTCTGTGAGGCCAAAATCCTCATATTTTTGGACTGCTTCCAACCATGTACTTTTGGGTCTACCCCTTGCCCTTTTCGATCCTTCCACTTGAACTAACTCACACCTTCTAACAGGTGCTGTATTGGGTCTGTGCCACACATGAGCAGCCCACCTAAGGCTACTCTCTCTCATCTTATCTCCTATTGGTGCCAGACCTTCATTTTTATGAATAGATTCATTTCGAATTCTATTCCTTCTTGTCTTGCCTGTCATCCATCTTAACATCCTCATCTCCACTATACTCATTCTATGCGTATTTTTTTTGTGTGCCCAACATTCTACCCTATAAAGCAAAGCTGGTCTCACAGTTATTCTATAGAACTTGCCCTTTGGGTTCATTGCTATGCGGCGATCACATAAAATTCCAGTTGCACATCTCCACCACCTCCACCCAGCTCTAATTCTGTGTACGACATTTTTCTCAATCTCTCTATTTTTCTGGATTATCCATCCAAAATTAAGTCTCATAATGATGATAAAACCCTAGACCCAAAGTCCTAGTCCTCTCTATAAGTATTCTTTATGGGGTGCATTCTCTACGCACTTGTGGACAAAGTTGGTCTCTCTTTCTCTCTCTCTCTCTCTCTCTCTCTTTCCCCCATGGCAGGTATGCCCACTCTCACTCTCTCTAATTTCTCTCTAGTTAGGGTTTTGACTAAGTTTTGAGCCTTGAGTAAACCCCATGGGGGCCCTAGTCTCTATGAGCGCCCTAAGCTTAGAGATTGAGCATATGATTGTTTGTGCTTTAGGTTTCTTCCATCCCATGTCATGCTCGCAAGAGGTTTTGCTTAGGCTTATCGAATTATGAGACAAGGTTAAGACCAAAATCCCATTTGCCATTGGTGGAGGAGACCCTGTGTGGGGTGTATGAAGTCCTTTGGGTAACTTGAGGCAAGGTATTTGGTATTCTAACTGTTCCATATTTCTTGATTCTTCATGCATTGTGTTTTGTACGTTTATCAAGAATTGTATTAGGGTTTATTTTTATGAATCCTCGTTGGTATGAATAAAAGTAAGGAAGAAATTTTTTAACTATATATGCTTGGCTAGGTCACATTGTCCACCTTTCAAAAAATACTCCACCTGATGGGTATTTTTTGCCCCTAGGCAGGTGCAGTCCTCTGGGCAGCTGCTTAGGCGGGGTACTAGGCAGGCGCCCAGGGACAACCCGCCTAGTTGGTCTGCCCCGGCTTGGGTGATGCACTCAGGCCAATGTACCTAATTGGTCTGCTCCAGCTTGGGGGATGCGCCCATGTCTTCTTAGCTCGCCTAGGCGCTGGGTGGACCTTTTTTAAATCAATGGAGTGTATAAATCCAAGTCCAAGGATACAACATTTAAAATTTTCATTACTTGAATACAATAAACTTGAAATACAATGGCCTTGGACAAGAATTACATCGATATAATCAAATTTCCGCACATAATAGGGATTTCATACACTCAACTAACATGCACATGACCTCACTT